TCCATGTTCACTGGCTTTATGTCCACAATATCTGCAAATATCGCTTAAAATTATCATTTTCGCCATTAGCATGCCAGTACCAATCGCTTTGCTGTGAATTCGTGAACATTACTCTTTACTCTTTTCTTTTTTTTTAAAGAAATACGTTGTTTTATTCTTTTTTTTTAAAAAAAAAAGAAATACTGGCCGATCTATGAGAAAAAAATGTAATATGCCGGCATAGCATAGTCAAAGCCTGAAAATTCGTGCGCAAAGGCCAGATATAGCCCAAACTAATGTATAATTTTATCCCCCCTAAGACGGAAAACCCTTAATATCGAATTTCTCCATAACCCTGCTGATTATAGGGTTTATTTCCAAAAAAAAACAAAAAAAAGGCTAAAAAAAACTAACTGAAGCTTTCATTGGTTATTTCGTGATGCCAAATATTTATGCGCAAATCATCAGCTGATAGAAACATTTCCTGGAAATTTTTGCAAAAATCAATACAAAATTAAATGCCTAAAACGGAGCATAACAAATGAAGGGGGCTGATAAATGAGCAATGAAATATTTGCGAAAATTACCTGATCCGAATTAATACTGATAGAGTTAATATGGTAAGTGTGTGCATTGCCATAGACCCGACGAGGAGATGCTTCCACTATTAATTCCATTGGTACCAATTTGGGTAGCTTAAGCTCGCCATTAAAGCCTGAAATAAAAAGCCAACAAAATTTCTTTTTGAACAAAATCCCTCTTGAAAAACTTGAGTTTTTTACAAAATATGCATATTCTTCACATTAAGCGAACAAAATAGTTTCTGCCATAAAAGAACAAACGCACTTACCTCGTTTACTTACGAAAGAGCCATCGGAATCTCGGGCAAGATTCCAGCCGCCATCCTCAACCTTCTTTTCCCGTTCAGAGATCTTCCATAATTTTATCGTTTTATCTGCAAAAAATAAATAAATTTGTAGGCAAGCGCACCGATTGCCGGTGCGAAGATGCATTTTTTTGCATAGTTCCCCGCAGGTTTTTGTTGTTAACGGCACCGGTTTTTCCAGCAGATGCTTCTAGAAAAACTGAGACAGGCCGCCAACACTGTCAGGAAGCATTTCCTTAAAATTTAGCTTCCTAGCTTTCCTGGTTTCCCAGTTAGCAGCTTGGCCGTAAAAAACTTTTACGAGCAAGCACGTGGATACCACGCGAGTAAGAGCGCCTATTTTGGGGACAGGGGCCCCCAGATGCATGTAGATTAAGCTTCCAAAGTTTCAGCCCTGTAGATATTGTAAGTCTCGAGATGAAAAATCAGTAAACACACACAGACAACCCCTCATTAATATGTGTTTTCTGCATTTTTTTTAATGCAAAAAACGCATAAAAATACTGCGTATAACGCTGAATCAGTGTAGGCCGAAAGATTTAGAAAAAACCAAGCTACAAAAATAAAAAAACACCCAGATTCGGGGCAAAAATATCAAAATTTGAGGCTATGAACATCAAATCACAAACAAAAAAAAGGTGCGAATTTATAATAAAACACAGACTTTTGGAAAAAAAA